CGCGCAGCCGCTGGAACTTCACTGAGGGGGCCCCAGGGCTGCTGCGAAGCGACCCCCGGGCAGAGCGGGGCTGGAGGGGAGCTGCGCACCAGGGGCAGCGCAGTTTCTGTGAGGGGAAGGTGGGGTTGGCACCCTAGAGCGGTGGCGCCCAACCTGCTCGAGGCCATGCCCCTACTACAATTTTACGCCCTCACCCCCAACAATATAGCTGCGCCCGCAACATGCACGTCCCTCAGCCCGCACTGCTTATCCAGCGGCGACCCTCAGCCCACTGGCTCATTAACGCGGGTTGAAGAACAGCTGGCCTCAACCCAGCTCTGCTTCCCCAGCCTCGGGAAACAATACAGCCTGGAAGGCTCTGCACTGACCCCTTACAAGTACCACCGGTCCACGGACCACAAGTTGGGGATCACTGGCCTAGAGGTTCCCAGCCATTGCTTTGAGTCTGGTTAAACTGGCAGTTTTGCTAAAAAAAAGATTCAATCCAGACCAGTTGATTATGAGAGTGTCCAAAATTAGCGGCAGCAATTGGGCAGGTGCAGGAAGGTTAGGGGAAGTAACTTAAAAAAGCAGGATGGTAAGTGGAGATCACTGTTTATTCTTGGGTCTGCCACTGACTTTGAGGCCTGGTCTGCATTACACTAGGGGGCTACATCTACACTGGCATGGTTTTCCGGAAATGCTTTTAACAGAAAAGTTTTCTGTTAAAAGAATTTTCGGAAAAGCACGTCTAGATTGGCAGGACGCTTTTCCGGAAAAGCACTTTTTCCGGAAAAGCATCTGTGGCCAATCTAGACGCACTTTTCTGCAAAAAAGCCCCGATCGCCATTTTCGCAATCAGGGCTTTTTTGCGGAAAACAGAACTATGCTGTCTACACTGGCCCTTTCGGGCAAAAGTCTTTCGGAAAAAGACTTTTGCCCAAACGGGAGCAGCATAGTTTTTCCGGAAAAGCACTGATGATTTTACATTAGATCGTCAGTGCTTTTCCGGAAATTCAAGCAGCCAGTGTAGACAGCTGGCAAGTTTTTCCGGAAAATCAAATGATTTTCCGGAAAAACTTGCTAGTGTAGATACAGCCAGGATGTAAAAAATTGTTTTAAAATGTAACCATATAACCACTAAATCCTAGTGGTTACACGGTTATACTTGCTGTGGGCTCTGCTGCTGGCTCCCCACCAGTGGGGCCAGCACCCTGGAATCCATGCACTACAGGCTCTGCAGTATAACTTTTTTATAAGATTTATATTTAAAATATAAGCTTTATACTGCAGAGTCAACAGTTCAGCTGGCTCCCCAGCAGCTCCTGCCTGTGTTGCTCCCAGGGAGCCCATATAACCATAATGGAAACTGATAACTGGTAAGTATCAGTTTAACCATTTAAACTGTTACTTTTGCATCCTTATGCTGCACTGGTCCATGAGAGGTAGCCTTGGTCTAACTGTAAGCATCTCCACTACAGTTTTCTTCCCAGCACTTTTAACTCCCTCACTATGCCAACCTAATAATTCCACCTCCAAGAGAGGCATAGGTTGCTGTAGTTACATTAACAGAGTATCCCTATAGTCACTGCATTGCTTACATTGCCTGTTACTGTCGTCACCTGAGCCCGGCTGCCCCAGGGTGACAGCTCAGATTGTCAACCCTATGGTGGGAGGGTGCCTGCTGTCAGCCTTGGAGAGTGGGGTTCTGGCAGGTGGTTCAGGGCAGTGCAATGCTGACTGTCAGCCCAGGCAGCAGGACTCCAGCTGTCAGTGCCTGATACTGCCCCACTTAAGTTGGTGCACATGCACCTGATGAGGATGTGTACCATTGACAGGAGCATAGTGTGGACACAAAGAGCCAATGTAATTACTGTGGTGGCTCTAGGCTGACCTAATGTAATTTGTAGAGATATCTTGACATATGCTGTATGAAGTTATGTAGGAAGCAAAGCCTTGGAGCAAGCAGGTAACTTTAATTTCAACACTCAACATTTCATCAGTAATCTGGTAGTAAATATAGCATGGCTGAGAGAATTTGCAAATGACAGGTATTGGTAGAGTGATAAGAAATGACAGGGTAGCTACTCAGGTTATTCTGAATTGCTTGGAGAACTAGGTCCATTTAAACAAAATGTGTTTTAACCCAGACACCTGGGCTACGTCTACACTGGCCCCTTTTCCGGAAGGGGCATGTTAATTTCACCTATCGTAGTAGGGAAATCCGCGGGGGATTTAAATATCCCCCGCGGCATTTAAATAAAAATGTCCGCCGCTTTTTTCCGGCTTTTAAAAAAGCCGGAAAAGAGCATCTACACTGGCCCCGATCCTCCGGAAAAAGCGCCCTTTTCCGGAGGCTCTTATTCCTACTTCAAAGTATTTTCAGAGGGAGGAAATACCAGGCACTTAGGGGCCCTGTCATCTAGCAGAGAAAAGTATAAGAAGAATCAATAGTTGGAAGCATAAACAAGACAACTTCAAATTGGAAATTAAGCACAAAATGTTAACAGTAAATACAGTATTTGTACAATTACAGGAAGTGATGAATTCTCCATCTCTGGATGGCTTCTTATCAACCCGGCAGCGGCTGAATCAGGGAAGCCAGGGACACAGCAGCTGGGATGCTGCTCGGTTGGTCCCGCAGCGCCATAGGGAGACGCTACGGGACCAACCTAGCAGCACCCCAGCTGCTCTGACCCCAGCCAGCCACTGGTCAGTTTCAGCAGCGGCTGAATCAGGGAAGCCAGTGGCAGAGCAGCTCCAATTGTCCAGCTGCCTGGAGCACTTCCAGGTTTCAGATGGTGCCAGACCATCAGGAGGGCCGGACCATTGGATACCGGACCACTGGAGTTTTACTGTATAACAAATTGAATGGTCTAACATCCTGCCTCTGGATTTGGGTTTTTATAAAAGTGTATGCAACAAGTAGCTGTTTCCACAAACACTTAAGTTTGGGACTAGATAGCTCATGTATTTGCAGTTATCACAGAAACTTGTAAATTAGTGGTTTAGGAGAATCATTGCAGAAGACTGAACTAGCTGAAAGAAATGAAGTATTTCTGAATATTTACTGATTCACAATAACTGCACTCTGGAATTTAGAATGTTTTCTCTTAGAAGCCAACATGTAATAAATTAGTTGATTTGTTGTACTCAAAGCATAATCTTGTCCCCCATCTTTGTTATTTCACTACAGCTTGAACCTCCCTTAACTGGTACTCCCTAGTCCAGCAACGTCAGCCCAGGAAGAAGGTGTGACAGCAGGGCAGGAGCTCTGTAAGGGGCACCAACAACTCATCCAGGAGCCTAGAGTGTGTGTGGGGGAAGGAGGAGAGCATAGGACGGATGGCATGGCAGAGAGTTCTGGCCCCAGCAGAGCTCCTAGTCTGACTGTATCCAGGGACCTCTGGCCCCATCCCTCTGCTCCATCCTCAAAGTTCTGGCCCCAGCTGTGAAGCCAGGCAGCTGCAGAGTTCTGGCTGGGGTGCTCCAACCACGGCAGCAGTACAGCAAGGAAGAGCCCCAGGTGATTGAGGCAGCAGAAGGGGCAGGCTGGAGCCCTAGCTCAGTGGCAGCATGGCCACAAGCAGAGGGACCTTCTCTGGTCCAGCAAATCCCCTTGTTCAGGACCATTCAGGCCCCGAGACCGCCAGACCAGTGAGGTCTAACCTGTACTGAATTGCTTGACTACTGTACTCATTGTTAATTTATAGTCAGATATAGGCAGAGAGAAAAATAGATGAATGTTAGAAAACATTTCTAAATCTGCTGAGGTATATATTTTATACATAGTATTTTGGTCTAGCAGATAGGAATTGATATTTGAAGACTGTAAGACACTAGCTTTAAGCACTATATTTTCCAAGCATCCTGCAAGAACAGGCATTTTTAAATTTAAGTTTAGAACCACCAGCCCATAAGAGTGGTGATGTGAAAATATTTATGATGAATTAAATAGTCCAGCACTTTTCAATCGCTTCAGTTAACTGAATCATATACTAGATTTGCAAAGCTTGACTTTGGTTTACTGCAGGATCTTTGAAGGTCCTTACAGGTGTGCATGCACATGTGCAAGGGAAGGGATTCTTAATCACACAATTCAGAATCTATCTACATTGGAAGACTTGGCCAGGTCTATGGTAGACTTGTATCAGTGTACATAGACTGCTCAGGGGTGACAAATCCATAAACCTTGAAGTAGCCTTACACACTAACCTACCTCCCCTCTCAGTGCTGGGGGGAAGGGAGGGTGGTGGTGGAGGGAGCTTCTCCCATCAACAGAGCTACTGCCTCCTGGGGAGGTGGATTAACCATGTGCTAGTGCATTGTAGACATTTTGTAGTAAAAAGAACAGGTCCAAGTCTCTCCCTTTGGCTATGGGAGTTTGCAGGCTGTTAGGAAGTCTGGGTGCATAAAGGGTGAGGGGATCAAGTTCTGGAAATAAGTTTTGGTGCAGGAGGGGTTGTGGGGTGCAGTACTTACCTGGGGCACCTTGCTTGAAGCAACATCTAGGTGGAGAGTCGGGGTGGGGATCAACATGCTGCTCCCACCCCAAGTACTCCTGCAGTGGGAGCACAGGGTAAGGGTAGTACATGGAGATCCCCCTCCCCTCCAGAAGGCAAGTGCAGGCAGGAAGCTGCTCTATCCCTGCTGTGCTGCCAATGGTGACAGCCAACAGAAGCCCCTTCTAAATCACCCTGAGGTAGCAGTGGGGGTTTTGGGGAGGTACACTGAGGTGGTAGGTAGAGACCCAGTCCTGAACTTTGCTACAGCTAGGCCCCTGGATCAGGAATATTCCTGGAGCCCAGGCACCATGAAAACAAGCTCCCCAAGACTGAAGTATCACAAGAGCAAGTTAAGCAGTAGGGAACGGGGTGGAGTTTTTAGTCAGCATTTAAATTTTTAACAGATTTAACTAAATGCTGAATTCATATTTGAAATTAGAAGTGGTTAAGAGATTCACTATGCTCACTGCTTCAAATGAAGTCTCACAATAAGTATCCCCAGTAGCTCTTGCAGATACTCTAGCACAGTGGTCTTCAACCTTTTTAAGCATGAGACCGCTTTTTTAATTTAAGAGCAATCCAAGATCTACCTCAAACCCAAATACCCTTGTTCTGCCTTTGTTCCCCTTCTCCGCTGCCCCGCCCCTGCTCACTCCCCCTTCCCCATCTTCCCTCATTTTCACTGGACTGGGGCAAAGGATTGGGATGCAGGCTCTGGGCTTGGATTAAGGGATTTGGAGTGTTGGGGGATGAGCTGAGTTTGGGGCAGGCAGTTGAGGTACTGGAAGGGGCTCTAGATGCAGGCTCTGGGGGGGTATATCTAAACTGCAGTGTGGATGTAAGTGAAGTTTTTTTCAAAAAAACAGCAATCACGTTTTCAAAAAAAAAAAAAAAAACCAAACGAAAGAACAGAGGGTTTTTTTCCTGAGATTGGTAAACCCTCTTTCTACAAGGAAGCCTTTTTCTGAAAGAGCTCTTCAGAAAAAGGAGTGTGGACGGGGAAGAGGAAAAAGCACAGGTGCCCTGGTGGCCATTCTGTCCACAGTAATCACAGATTAAATGCAAGATTGCTTTCTCGATGCAATCTGTTTTTTCGAAAGATAGCATCCATTTGGTGTGGATGCTATCTTTCGAAAAAGCAGACTGCTTTTTTGATTAACTTTTGCTGTGCAAATGCTCTCCTCTAGAAATTTTTGCTGAAGATTTCTTCCAGAAAAGCTTCTTCCGAAAGAAGCCTGCAGTCTAGACATAGCCTGGGAGCACTTTGGATGCAGGGGTGCTGAGGAATAGGGCAGGGACTTCGGGTGCAGCAGGGGGTTCATACTGGGGTAGGGTTTCAGGATATGGGCTCCAGCTGGACACTGCTCATCTCAGGTGGCTCCTGGGCAGTGGGGCCTAAAAGCAGGCTCATCCCTGTCCTGGCCCTGCACCACTCCCAAAAGCAGCCAGCAAACTCCTTCCAGTTCAAGCCCTGTTGTTTCCCCTTCTCTGTGCTATGGAGATAAGAGGGGAAGGGGACACCCTGACATTGGCACCCCCGCCCAGCAAGCAGGGGACTCCTGAGGGGAACAGCTCCAAGGCAAAAGGCAGGAGATGCACAGCAGTCAGGAGAGTGGCAGCTTAAAGTGCTGGCACTTGATATGTGATCCTGACTGGTTTGGCCAAGAGGCTGTCAGAGGCTCCAAGATCTACTGGTTGGTGACCACTGCTCTAGCAAAACCACAGAACACCCAAAGCAAGCATGATTGCCTTTTTTTTATGATGTATAAAAGCTATCTAAAGGGTTTGGACCATTTCAGTGTACTTTATCAGAGAACAGTGATCAAGTATACAGCCTATAAGACATTTCAAATAAAATTCACTGAAATCCCCTCCCTCCCCCGTTAATGTTCCTTTCAGGTTTAATAGCTATTTAAACGACACACTTCTCTCCCATCTTCAAAATACATAAAAGCAGTTATATCTCAAACACAAGAAAATAATTTTTCCACCTCAAAACTTATCCAACTGTTCCCCTCAAAATGCCTAAAATTCTTGATAGTTAATGCTACTTTGTTCCAGTTCTTTGTTTAAAGTTTCACAATTCTAGTCAATACTGTATTTCACGGACTACAAACCAACAATAAAAAGTTACAAATCAACTTTTATTAAAGCAGATGCCAGGTGTTTAGGCATCAGCAATAGTAACTTCAACTTCTACACCTGGTTCAATGCTGATAGAAGTGATCTGCTTAACAATCTCAGAGGGGCTGTGTAAGTCAATGAGACGCTTGTGGATACGCATCTGGAAACGATCCCAGGTCTTAGAACCTTCACCACATGGTGTTTTCCTAGTAGTGATTCGCAGAGTCTGTAACAGAAAGTGGAACAGTAACCAACAGGTCAGATGTATGCAGAGGTTTATGCTAGTATCAAAACCTTATGGGTGTGACGTAAAAACAAACAAACAAACAAACAAACAAAAAAAAAGTAAGCAATATTTTAATTAAAATCAACTCTACTTATTATGATGGCCATCCTTTTCATACCTGCCAAAACAGCATTGGGTGCATCTACACTGGCAAGATTTTGCACAAAAGCAGATGCTTTTGTGCAAAAACTTGCCAGCTGTCTACACTGGCCACTTGAATTTGTGCTTGTGCAAGAGGGCCAGTGTAGACAGGCACCTTAATTTTTTGCGCAAGAAAGCCCGATGGCTAAAATGGCCATAGGAGCTTTCTTGCGCAAAAGCGCGTCTAGATTGGGCACAGATGCTTTTGCGCAAAAGCATCCATGCCAATCTAGATGCTCTTTTGAGGAAATACTTTTAACAGAATAACTTTTCCGTTAAAAGTATTTCCGCAAAATCATGCCAGTCTAGATGCAACCCATTAAGTTTAAAAAAAAAAAAAATGCAGATAAAAAGCTGATCAAAATCCCCTTTTGCATTTCTCTTCAGCATGTTGTTTGTACAGTAAAACTCCAATAGTCCGGCATCCAATAGTCCAGCACTCCTGATAGTCCAGCATCAAAATGGCAAAAGCCTAGTGAGTGAGCTTCAGCAAAAAATGACACACAAGGTAACAGCGGCAGCAGCTGAACTGAGCAAAAAGGGTAAAAAAGGCTTAAAAACTAAAATATTACACTATACTGTATACAGTATGTACAATAAAAAGGGTTAAGAACACTTTATATACAGTATATAATGTATACAGTGTACATATATAACCATCTTACAGTACCTCCTGATAGTCCGGCATATTTGATAATCCGGCACTACCCATAGGTCCCGGATTATCGGAAGTCTACTGTATTAAGCAATTCAGTCACGTGTTTATGTGAGCTACTAACCATTAACTGTCTAGAATTCATATATACTCAATCCAGTGTAATCAGACTGCATTCCCTCTCAGGTTTACTATTTGTAATTTACAAATAAAATCTTGTAGAACTGGTCATAGTTTTCCTGCCTCTTAAGCCGTAAGTACCTTAGTAGGCATGCGAACAGGTCCCTTCACTTTTAGATTCTTTTCCTTGGCACCTCTGATCAAATCAGCACAGACTGCAAGAGAATACACAACTGTTTTAATAAGGTTTTTTTTAGTTGAACTTGATTTTCCACTTCAGATAAACTGTTGGCTCAGAATAGCGTAAATAGCAATCATAGTACTTCAAACTGACAATTTATCCTCATAGCCAACTACATATGAAAAAAACCTCACCCCAGAATTAACAGTCACTTGTAATTTTACTTTTTAGGTCTATCCAAAATTGCATTTAAAGAATGTTACATTATAGTTAAAGACCTTAAGAGTTTAGACTAACATGGTGTAAACATATTTTGTTTTGAGAGCATGGACCAGGCCTATTTTTGAAGACTATTTACAACACATAGCTAAAATATTGTTCAAGAGAGTTCACAGACAATTTAACAGGGATAAAGAAAGCATTTAAAACAGGTTAACAAGTTTATTCCTAGTTTACTTTAAGTCACTGGAAGAGTAAATCAATGGCTGAGATAAAGAACACAACTGACAACTCATAGGCAAATAACCTAAGTTGTCAACTTTCCCATTTAAAACTTCAAATCATAAGCAACCCTAAAAAAAGTGCTACTTACCCTTCTCCAGTGACTTTACATTGCGACTTGTCAAGGTAATTCTAATTCGGTGAATTGCTACTTCCTGTTCCACAGGTGCTTTGCCACTATCTTTAAATGCCTGAAACATTTACATTATGAAAATTAGAAACTATAGCCAAACTGGTCAGTATTGCATGTATGCTTTTTAAAGTATCTTCACTAAAATCCAGAACATATATATAGTTTATAACTTTTATTAGAGACCATATCAAAAAGATGTAGCCGTGATGCTTCTGAATGAGGGGAAAAAGAAGAACAGGAAAGGGCAAGAATCCAGTTTTAGAAATGTTATTTCACACTACTATTGTAAAACAATCAATCATTCACCGTGAAAAACAGCAGAAGCATCCCATACTGATGAGTAACTATATGGACAGGCATATCTAGCCACTAAGCCACCTCCAAAATAAAGCAACTGCCTAAACTTGGTTACACCAACTTACGGTCTATGCCCCACGCAAAGGGTACTGAGTGTCACAATTAAATACAAAAATCAAATACATAGCTCTTAGTATCTTTCACAGACCTTAAGAGCGGTCTAGAATGGGAACTCTCTCACCAACAGCTAATATATTCCTATCACTCACCTTGTCTCTAACCAGGTAGCAACATACAAATCTTATGCAAGTGAACCAGTTTTTGTTTCATAGCAAGAAGTCAAAAAGAGAAAAATGCCAATATCTTAAGTTCAGTCCAGTCAGGTGATAAAGAACAAAGAGGTGTCTGGACAGGCAATTATAGATATGCATCATGAGACTGAATCTTAAATTCATTTGGGAAGATGATAGATACACTAGTACGTTTGTTCTGAGTTCTGATGGGAAAAGTGAAACATTAAGGAAGAACAATCTTATTTTATCACTGGTGAAAGATACGTCTCAGAGGAATCAGAAAGGAAAGGCAATCCATTTAAAAGTTGAACCTCTCTTGCCCCAGGGACCTCTTTGGGTAGCAACCAGTCTTTGCTTGACCAGGGAGGTCCAAACTGTATTAACAGATTTAGGTCAACAGTATTTACACGTTATTGCCATTATCTATTATATGGAAGTGGGACCCTTTCTTTTGATGGCAATATTGGCTAGGACTTTTAAAAAGATACTCGTATTTATTTTGCAAATGGCACGGGATTGCAATCATCGCACTGACGAGATAAAGTTTAACTAGCGAAAGGTTTCTAGAGGCAGCAGAGTCACACATACAGGACCCTTCCCTCAATTTAATTTGTAAGGCCTATTTATGTAGGACTATTTATGAGGGGAACGAGATGCAACCACAATCGCCGTGGGCCAAGATGCCGCCCCGTCGTAGCAGCACACGCATCTGCGGCTGGCAGCGTTTAGCCGCAAGGGCCAGCTCAGTCTCAGCCCGTTGGCCAATGCCGCCCCCGATTCACCGTCAGCGCAGACAGTCGCTGCAGCGGGGGCTCGCCAGCCCAGGGCCCTGTCGCG